GGGTCCTGCAGTTGGCGTTATCATCAAGCGTTGTGTCTCTACTGAATTGTCATTAGAAGGTGTTGGTGTTCTTGATGCTTTCAGCAGATTTTCTGTTAGCAATCTGTAACGGAATTTAATCCAGTTCGCAAGTAGGGTCTGTGCCGTTAGTTCTGACTGTAACACAAGTTTTAAGAGCCTGGGACCGTACCCCTTATAGTTTGGTGATACGGGATCCTGGTCGACGAGGTGACCACCACATTTTTGAGAGAAAGAGCCTCCCGGATGTGGTGTCATTGATCGCAGTCGTGCATCTGAGCATCGTCGGAAGAGGAGTCAGTAAGCTCAGGAACACCATGAGCAGTCACTGTTTTCTTATCGACTTTTTCTGTACCTATCTTTGTTAGCGTGCTCCCCTGAAAGTTCTTTCCACGGAATTTCGAGTAGTATGCGCACTCCACTTTAGTCGTTGCGAAGACGATACGCAGACAGCAGAACGGCCTTAGTCTCGTCCGTCGAGTTTGGTGTTACCTGAAGTGACCGGGGTTCGCCGTAGTGCAACACGTTTGGGTGGCGCGAGATTCTTCTTAAGGTCATGGGATTAGCATAGACACCGATCGACGTACAGATGGAACCCACTGCTTTAGATCGTCCGTCAACTTACCCTTAATTGTATTGGATTTGGATTCGGGACATTTGTGCATACAATATTTAGGGAACCATGGCTGCGCTTGGTGGCTACTGGTTTTGGATTTGAAGGCTGAGTATCCGGGCTTTTTTGAATTTGTGTGCGGCACCGGTGTGTGCTATCCATGCTGCGGCAGTTTTGTTTTCTCTAGTCCGGGCTCAAAGGTTACCGGTGCTCTTTCCGGTGTTTGCTTGGCGGCAACCGATGCGTACTTTGCCGGGTTGTTCCCCATTGCTGGTCGACTGTAGCTTACAGTCTCGAGTGTAGCAATAAGACTACTAGGTGCAGCACACAGTACAGAAGTTGAGGCAGGCGCGCTGCAGGAAGGAGAGAGAATGGAGTTGATACTGCTGGAGGCTGAGTCGTTGGGGTTGGGTTGGGACGCCTGGTTCGCTTCTTCGGCCTGACTAAGGAGTTCGGGGTGTTATTTTCACTCACAAGTGCGGGTCAGTTTCCTCCCATGGGTGTAACTCGGGCACTCACCAGTTGCTCGACCGCTTCGGTTAATCTTTCACACCTCTTCAATGGCACAGATAGCTAACAAATGTAATAGACTTGCATGCTTGGCAGAACCAAAACGCCTCTGCGGTGTTTGCTTTCGTCTACCTCTTCCCAAGGCAGGTAGTGTCATAGGAGTTCAAACCCATGGTACACACCAGACCACTTCTTACCAATTTAGCACATGATTCGCATTAGTTCTGCATACGAGACATGTTCTCAGTAGGGGTGCTCTTTTAAGGGGTAGAAAGTGGATAGAGATACTGACGCGCTGTTGCTTGGCTATCGGCGCTGGCTTGAGGTCAGCAGGTCCAGGCGTGCCGCGGCCAGATGAGGCACACGTTCCTTGGGGTATATAGGCGACGTGCGTGGTATCTATCCAGCAAGCAGTGAATAGGCAGCGATGCGACATAGGACTGGGGCAAAGCAAGGTGACTTGAAAACTACTGTCTAATGACGATATTGGCAGTACCAAATGCGGATCAAATTGACGTCTTTCGCTTTGTAGAGTGAAGAAGGAATGGTGGTAAGCTGATCGGGTGAATCACAAAAATATCTTTAAAATAAGACCACAAGAGTTCTTATGCGACGAGAGGAAAAATAAAACATCCGACAAGCTTCAAATACGGTTGACTTCGAAGTTCCAAGAGCACAGTTTGTTGGTGATCCGTTAATCATAGAACCAATAGGTGAACAGTGGTACCAAGAGCTTGCAGAGCCAAATCGAATGATGACACGTAAGTCTCTGTGAGAATAAATTCAAAGGTTTGGAAGCAATTAACGCAGGAGGACAGTTTTTGGCGACCGCTTGGCACAGTTAACACGAAGTCCATGAGGCTCACGTGGTAATGGCGACAGAGCGTTCGGTCTTCCGAACAATTGCCGGTAACGTCACATCACTCTGAGAGAACTCGGAGAGCAGGGGACCGAGCAGACGAAGATGGATTATCCGGCACATTGAGAATAAGTTGTACAGTTAAGGTGGGAAGTCAAATAAAGGGTCAGCAGAGATGGACAGGTTTGGGATGGAAGAGGCTATATGAAAATAAGTTATGCAAGACAAATAACGGGTATGATGAACCCCGGCTGATGGCACAGATAACGTGCTTAGCTGCGTGTATGATATTTCCATGCAGCCGGCTTTTCTCATCCTAATTTTTTCACTTAAAATGTACTTACAAGATGTCTTCATACCTTTTAGTTGCAGCTTTTTTGCCACACATCAATTGTTTCTGCACGTGGATTTATTTTCCACTTAAATAGTTTTTCAAACTCTATCAGGTCACCACAATTGGACTAACTTGCTTTGAAATCCATATAGGTGATTCGGCTTTTTAGTTTAAATCGTAGCAGGGACGTTTGCAACTTCTCTCGATAATAGCTAAATTATCCTAACTTCAGTATGAGCGAAGTACAGCGGGAAGTATAGCTACATCTATTCCCGTGACTAGTATGTGAAACAGAGCATGTATTATCAACATCGACATCAGCAACTTTATCAATACTCTGTTACAACTGGGGATTATTCAACTTAACCGGACGAGCCAACCTAGTTTGTTGGACCTTGTACTCGAATTTATAACCTACATTCCAAAGCGAGAAAGTGTTGTAGAGTGTATAGAATCCAGCGATAATTGTTTAGCACACAACCAATGCCCCTAGATCATAAAAGAAAGGTAATAAAATGCAAACTGAATGCAACGCGCCACAGAGGGCTGTTAGCAAAAGGTGAGTGCTGAGTGCTAAGTTTTGTTCGTAAACGTAAAAGACGAAATCAAAAGTTCGGATAAAACGATGGTACAACGAAAAACGAGTAAAGCACAACGAATTTGAGTAACACTGAACAGGATAGCTGTACCAACGCTATGTACAGTATGATCAGTCCGGCATACGAATCCGCAAGGCTAGTAGCTGTACTCAGAATAAGGTTGACAGCAGTCAAAAAAGGTTCAACGTAATCGAGAAAGTGATACAGCACGATATCAAGCAGTGACCACAGCAACTGCACTAGTGGAGGGAAAGAACTGGAAACTTATTAAGAGCTACTATCAGAAACAATATATATATATATATATATATATATATATATATATATATATATATATATATATGGTTGGCGGCACCCGGTTTCGGATTTGCCTGCCACTGCGGCCAGCCACAGGACGCCTGCGCCTACAGAGGGACCATGGGTGGCTTGCGCTGCACCACCCACACACCCCATATCCAGTGTAAACCCGAAGGAATAAGACCGGGAGACATGTGGATGGGAGCCACGTTTCATCAACGGAGCCGACCCACACTCCTTCACAGGCAAACACATGCACTCTGTATTTGGGGAATCAAGCGCACACAATGCGGTGGCTGTACCGTTGACCGCTCCAAACTGAGTGTATGGAACCACTCTTCGAGCCTAGCACGACCACAAGGACTGTGCACCCCGTCCCCTCCAGCAACGACCAACTATCTCCTAGAGCCAGTATGAACGAGGTAGTGGGTAACAGACAGGTAGGCACCTTGTCAACATGCACATCAAGCGCAGCCGCACCGGGGATGTCAAACAACAGCCAATAACTTGAAATGACAGTAACAAATAAAATAAATAAAAAAATATAACAAATGGTATGACATTTCATGCGCCACGATATATATATATATATCGTGGCGCATGAAATGTCATACCATTTGTTTCGTTCATTACAAAATTAGTGTAGAATTAACTGTATGAGCATGGAAATTTAGTTCAAAGTAGTATGTGTCCAATGTGATCACCATTTTGTTTCACAACCTCTTGCAAGCGAAACGTCACATCAAAGAAAATGGGTCCGATGATTTCATGGGATGAAATCGCTGCCCATACAACTGACCTTTTGTCCATGTTTCCGTTGGTGCAGTATGTGAGGATGTTCAGTAGCCCAGAAACGAACATTTCGCTTATTTTCACTAAACCATTTAAATGAAAATACACGTCGTCAGTAAAACACGTGTTGTACGGAACGTGATCCACTCGCACTAACCATGAAGCAAACTGTTGTCTTCGTTTCTTGTTCTTTTCCGATAATTAATGGAAAAATGTTATCTTGTAAACGAACATTTAAAGATCAGAATACAGAATCCCTTGTATAGACCAAAGATATATTCCTAACTCAGCAACCGTCTTTCTTGTTGATCTGCTAGAACTTCGTGTCAAAGCAACGCGAACTGCTTCCATGTTTTCAGGGGTGTAGACACTTGGTCTGCGCCATCGATTCTTCTCCACCATAGAGCCAGTTTAAAATGTTTCGAAATACTGGTAGCTCGGGTTGGTGAATCAATCATTGTTCAATTGTAGCGTGCAAGCTTGCACGCTACATACCACTGCACTGAGGATGCCACCTCGTTTGGTGGTGAAACGTTTGCGAGAAAACCGCCAAGCTCGGAGAACAAATGAACAACAGAGCCAGTTGTTTCAAATTGACGATACAATCACATGGAGCGCATTTTGTACGCCATATTGAAAATCGTGTCTGGCGCCAAGAAAATATTCCATACTAACTTCTCGTGACACCTACCGGATTTTCCGTAAACCAAAGTAAACGAATACAAATTTTCAACATTACAACTATCATATTACATGTGTATTGAACAAAATAAATGGTATGACATTTCGTGCGCCAAGAAAGAGCAGAGCATTACTGAGTGCAAATCGGAAACGGGACACCAGCAGGCATCATTTTCTCAAAACCGGATCGATCACCATGTTAGTAACGTATCGAAGCGCGTGCACATAGCGCTGTAGTTATGCGCTGTTAAGTATGTGATTTCCAATCGAACAATTATTAATGGCATTCTGAGAAACATGTGGAAGGGTGAGTTTGGCGGTACCGATAGCCAAGAAGGTGAGTCACTGATCACAGTGTAACAATAAGACTGATTGCTCAAGAAGCGGACATTATTTCGTGACATAGAGCAAGCACGCAAGAGACTACTGGATGCGGACAAATCGACTGGTTTAACAAAGAAGAAAACGTATCAAGGAAGGAGCCAATCCGTCGGCGCTCCACTTCAAGAAGACAACAAACGAATCTGACATAACATCCACAGTAGAAAAGTAAAAAACGGGCGGTAACAGCGAGATGCCTACATAGTTTCTAACCGATAACACGAAAGGGTGGGTTGAAAACAGAGAGAGAATAGCAGTAACTGCCACAGGGGAAGATGGAGTGTGGGCACACAGCAGTATATAGTGGAAAACAATATAGCCAGAAATCGTATTCTCCAGTTCGCAATGCGAATACAATGCGAATGCTAGCAAAACTCGGCTTGTCCCATCTGATCGGATGATCGGGTTGCAATTCGATAGGACAAGAACAACAAATCGTTAACAGTACAGGATTTATCCCCCTGAACTCACCAACTCATTATCTGAGGTGTCATCAAACGTGTAGTCGAACCGGAACTGTTGATTTTCTAAATACTTCGTAAGGTCAACTTTGGTTTTAGGCTCGTGAACAACGACCAACTGTTTGTTCGGTACAGTGATAACATCGATTTCCCGCCGACCAATCTCTGTTGAAACAAATGCAGATGAAGAAGCTAACAAATGCGCATGGGAATGGGACTCATCTGGACACAACCCATGAGTTCAGTTGAATTATGATCCAAGCACCAAAGTGCGGTGGATGCAGTTGCCACGACTCATATGGTAAAATAAGAACAAATAACAACGGCAAGATGGTGGGGTTAAAGGCAAATAGAATGAAAAGAAAGTGGAAGGAAGGAAGTGCGTTAAACTAATTAGGATGGAGCAAAAATTAACAACCAGACACAAGAAACCGAATGCAAGAACGCCATAGACTGCGGTCTCCAATCATTGGTGTGGACCATCCCGAGGCCCCCACCCACGAAGGCGGCATGCACGCGCCTGACCGAGTCTTTCAGTCAGTTTCTTCATGCCTCGATGCCACGTCATGAACTGGAAACCACGCGGTTTCCCCCAACTTGGTGCAGCCATGGTGCATAATGTACGCCGAGGAAGCCGGTCAACGAGCTTACGGGGGAAATGGCCTAGCCAACGTAAGCGACTAAAATTCAGCAAACACTCGAATGAGAAAACAGAAGGCCTCTTGCCAAAAGTCAACTGGCGGACCCCAACATTGTTCACCTGGTGTTCCCACCAAACATGAGCAACACTCCGCAAGCACGAGTGGTCGAAGACGGCCAACCATTTAATGTTTTCACTGCGAACTGGACAGGCCTCTAATCCACTCATTAAGACCAGCTTTACCGTAGCTCTATACATCCTACCTTTCACTGACAGGCTGATATCCCACCGTCTCCATAAATGGTTGAGCCTATGGAAAGCAACACAGGCTTAGAAGATACAAGAAGTAACCTACTCAGTGATGTGACTACGAGAAGTGACACAGCTGCCAAGGTAATCGAACAGACCCACCACTTCAGTGACATTTCGGCGATAGCTAGAAGCAGGGGTGTATCAGTCGAGTACTGCAGCAGTACTTTTCACTTTGAAGGGGCAAAGCACATGCCGGAGCGTGAAGTACTACGCGTCAGTAGATCCAGTAGTGATTGCATAGCCACCGCGTCAGGCTCAAGGAGAGCTATGTCGTCAGCGTAATTAAAGTTTGTCAGCCGATCACCTGGTAGAACTTCCACTCCGGTAGAGTCTGACAGAACCGATTCATTCTTGATCATTTCGATCACGAAGTTGTAGTGGAAAGGAGACATAGGACAACCCTGACGAAGTCCATCTATCGTGAGGAGCTCGAAAGACAGTTTACCATAGACCCTTGCACGGCATCGGGAGTCATGGGAGACCGCAAAAGGAACGGAAGTTAGCCGGCACGTCCTTCATAGATAGGTAGTGGCACAAGCTAGCGCGGTTAACCGAGTCGAAGGCGGTTTTCAAGTCAAGGAAAACCACCAAGATTGGCCAACTGCATGTATGTCTCTGCTCTATAACTTGGCAAAGAGTAAATATGTGGTCGACACAACCACGACTAGGGTGAAAGCCAGCCTGGCTTTCAGTGATTCGGTTCTCACGGAGAAGGATGCCCATGAGAAGTTTGGGTGCAATGGAAACAAGGCTAATGCCTCGATTAATTTCGCACAAAGTACCCTGATCCTATTTGAAGATGGGCACGACAGTTGACAGTCGTTGTAAATAGAGAAGTGAGTACAGTCATGATTTCTACACAGAGTATCCATAAATATGCATTATCATCGGGAAGAAGCACAATGAGCATCACAAGGAACACCGATTGAAGGAACAAACTGTGCAGTTGAGCGCTATATATCTTGATGGGGGTCCGCAAAGTAATCAAATAAGTAAATAGGGAGCTTACTTACAAGAGGGCAGCCAAAAGAACGGCTCCGAAGTAATTTGGGAAATATCGGTTGAAAATTTCATTCCTCTCTAAAGTAATGGTTATCAGCATTCACTATCATGAAGAGGTGGATCGAGGGAACCAGAACAGGAATGCTTCGCTGTTATTGTGACAGTAGCTAATTAAACTGACCGGAGGAGGAGGTTAAAAACTATGGATAGCTCGGCGAAGCAAACTGCTATCAAAGTCCCAGTTTTGTAATCCTGATGCCTCGGATTAAACAGGAGGTTGGCTGTACGAACAACTACAGCTTGATGCGATATCGCAATCAGTCAATAAGCAGGTGTAAAAAAAAAATAAAAAATCACGACAAAGTGTAAAGAACCTTTACTGGCAAAAAGGTAGAAAATAGAGGATTCCACGACCAGTATGCCAAAAACATCCCCACCAAACGAGTGTAAGACGTAGCTTAGGATACCGACTGCTTCGAGTAGATGACTATGTGAACTACAACACATACATTCTCAAGAGTTTCAGGGATCGAGGAAGCAACAAGGAAAGAAGGCTGCCATAGCAGACCGACCACGCTCGGGATTAGGTGGCGCTCAGACCGCCTGAGAGCCTTAACCTTATGCGACTAAAAAAGGAGTACTGGTTCACCTAGGGGCTATGCTGACATTTGGTGCCATCAAGGCACTACAATAGACTACCTCTGTGGTACCCATTTAGCAGCTACAGTGATGCTTCGAGAATAATGGAAAACGTATGCAAGTGTCCGTTCTGCAAGGGTCACTCCACTGGAACTTTGGAGTGTTTGGTGGTTGATCCAGGGGGTAGCATACGATTCATAACAGATGAGGCACAGTGTTCCAACATGATCTGGTTGGCCTGCGAATATGTTTGAATTACTATGCTGCCAAAATCAGCAAAGTTGCGACTCACAATGGTTGGTTAACCGCGTTAAGATTCGTTCCCTAGGACGGATAGATAAACAAGTGATTGGGTAGTGTGGTAGCTGAGAAAACAGGAAGAAATATTCCGCAAATCCGCTTTCGAAACGCAACACAGTAATGTACGAGAAATATGTGTCCGATAGCAAACGACACATGAAAGCAAGAATGCGCAAGGTTAAGATCAAGGGAGTGCAGCATTCGATGCAACAAGTGACGCGCAAATGACGCGGTTCAGATAGTCGACTATTAGCTGTGCACCGAGGTCCAGTGGATTTAGTTCATTGAGATATGTCGCCGCGCAAGTTCACGTTAACCAAACAGTAGAAAAAAGAAATCCCTAGATATTGTGAAGCAAGAACGAAGAAAGCGTGCAATAGCGCTACGAACTCTGCTACCGCTTCACGTAAAATGGGTTTTAGAAACATTGATGAAGTCGATCTCACGAACCTTGGTTGCAGAAAATCGTGAGAGCCAAAATGGTAAATGCATCTACGCAATTGTGTAACGTCCTCAGGAACATTATCCTAGAAAGAACAGTGGCAAAAGCAGGGCTTAAGAAATGGAGGAGGCAAGAGCAGTAGGCAATTACCACAAGCTCCTCCAACTGATCTGCACCACTGGTCCAAGAAAACCAGGCGTCAGCGAGACAAGCTGAGACAGCGTGGGTGCCTTGATCCGAAATAAGTAGTGCCAGCTAACTCGTTAGGCGGAGCACTTTTGACATCAGTTCATTTGACCCCTTGTTCCTGGCCCCCTCTCTACTCAAGCTGAGCCAAGGACGGTCTGTTTAGTGGCTCCGTCAGAAGCTGAGGTCCGAAATGCGATCGCAGCCCATAATCGTTTTCGAGGTGTTAGTCCAGATGTCCTTGAATCCGCACTATGTAAGGATGGTGGTAAGGTACTTAGCAAAGCACTGACCTCCCTATCCGAACAGGACTGGAAGGATAAGAAGATCCCAGCTAATTGGAGTGAATCGAGTATAGTGGCAATATACAAGAAGGGCAGTCGCAATGACCGTGCTTAACGCCAATGGTGACAAAATTACTGGCCTCAATTCTCGTGCGTCGCCAAACAAAGAAACAGGAACCCGGATAAGGGATGGGCAAGTTCGTTTCCACCCAGGACGGGCTGTATACACCACATATCCATTCTGCGACAGGTGCTAGAGTAGCGTCATATGTACCGTAGACCGACAACAGCCATGTTTCTGGACTTCAAGGGTGCGTTTGACTCACTCGATCGATGTAGTGCTTCAGCTGACAGTACGGATAACCGAAGCATCCACTCCGGTCACGGTACAGCCACTTCCCAAATCAGAAGACAAGGATCTCTGACGGAACTTGTATGGAGCATCCAAAAGACAGAATGTACAGCCAAAATATGGGATCAAAATAAATAGTTCATGAGAGAAAAGACCTAATTAAAAGTTCCTGACAATAGCAACTACTGGATGCGCAAAAACCAGTTGTTGGCTGTGCAGGTAGAGCGCTTACTGGAGGGCTTCAAGGCAGGTCATTCTTATTGGTCTACTTCAAGTTAAAACGATGCCATTGACTTACTCTCACTGGCTAGTCAATCAGCTACAGGCGACATAAGACA